GGGGGGAGGGGGTGGGGGGGGGGGACAAGGGGAGCTGGAATCGCGAATAGAGAGAAGAGCCGCGAAAGCCGGACAAACGGTTAAAACGTGGCGCTGGCTCCGAAGACTCACTGCGGTGCGGGTTTAAGTCCAACGGCGAGCAGCACGTCGATACCAGCCATCTTCTGCTCCTGCGCCCCGGAGCCGGCTCCCGTAGTACCGGCGGTGCCGCCACCGCCACCGCCACCACCGCCTCCGCCCTTGGCTCTTTTACCGGAGGCGGTGGTATTGACGGTAGTGGTGTTGGTGTTGGTAGTGGCGGCGGCTGCTGCTGCATCCGGACCCTTGGTTCCCTTGGCCTGCTTGAGCATCTTGGCATGGGCGACCTTGAGGAGGGAACGCTTGGCGTCCTCGACAAGCATCTTGGTGACGGGCTGCACGTTCACCGGTACGCCGATGGTCGGTACCGCCCCTCGGCGCAGCCGCGAGCGCACCGGCAGCCCGAGCACCAGGTGCTCCATGTCCTTCTCGTAGCTATCGTTGGTGAAGTGAAGGGAACAGATGCGCGCCGTCTGTATGTTAAAGGGTATCTCCCCATTGGAGAGGGGCACCCGCCCGCAGGCCCGCACCCAGCGCGACCGCACTTCCGGTATCTGGGGGAAGCGGTGGTAGCGGATACGCCGGCCCCGCGTTCGCCGGTGGCTGTTCCGGCAGGTCGCGACCGCGCACTGCGGCATCTTGATCTCGGTTCCGGCACGTTACCACCACTGTCACCACTGGCTCGGCTCTCTCCGGTGGCGCTTACCGACCGGGCCAAATTCCCATGCTCTTCCACCTCCTGCTTCGGCAACTTTCTGTCCTCTTGGCCTGCTTAATTTAGTTGAGCGATCGGTGGTCAATGCCTCCTTAACGGTGACTACCTCGTGCGGCTCATGCCACCGTGACTGACACACAAACACACACAAACACACGAGCACTCGCGCACCACCGGCTCGAGATCCCGCTGTTCCCGGTAGGGACGAACGAGCGAGCGAGCGAGCTTGCGCCGGCTCGTCAGGCTAACCAGGACTGCTCCTAACCTCCCTCTAACAACCAACGACAGCGACGATGGCTTACGTAAAAGCCGCGTCCTTTGCTCGCGCGGCTTATTTACTCGCAGTCGCGCTCGTAATGGCCTCGCCTCGGGGCAGACGGGACTCTCGCGAACGTAGAGAGAGAGAGAGAGAGAGTGAGAAAAAGAGTGTGTGTATGTGAGCGAGCGAGCGAACGAGCAGCAGAAACAGCAGCAGCGGCAGCAGCAATAGCAGTAGCAACTCGACGTTGCTCGCGGAGCGGCCGGAGGCAAATCGACGACGATACACACAGCGCGGCACGCGGCACTGGTTCGCACTGCGCGTGTAGTGCGCGCGCCAGCGACTCTACCCGACACGGCCGACGACGGCCCCCCGAGAAACGCGCCGACGGATGGGGAGAGGATGGAGAGAAGCCGAGAGAGCGAGAGAGAACGAGAGAGGAATCGCAAGTGCGCATGTACACACACAGGGACAGAGAGACGCAGCAAATGGGCACCGGCGCGCTGTAGCTGCGCATAGTCGGTGCCGCCGCCGTCGTTGCCGCCGTTGCCGCCGCCGCCGCCGCAGGGGGTTGGATAATGCACCGCCTGGAAGTGGTGAGCGCGATGGCGGAGAGGGAGGATAGGAGGATGGGAGGGTGGACGGCGGACAGAGAGGGAGACGAAGAGAAGTCGAAAGGGCACAGGCGGTACCGCCCTAGCAGCCGTCGCGCAGCCCGAATTCAAAACGGGGAACCGGCGACGCTGGGCGCCGATCGAAGCCCGTCTCGCCTCCTCACTCTTGCACGTTTAACTGGCTATATCTCCCTCTCGCTTTCTCTCATTCGGTCTAGCCGTTCGAGCCTCTTGGTTAATGGGAAAAATCTTGGCGCTCGCGGGAAATTACGTGCGATGGCTTTTCCAAGGCGAGCAGCAGCGACCCATCGGAGGTCGGGATGATAGGGGACTGAGAGACCGATAAGCGCAAGATGGCGCATTCTTCGGAATAAAGCGCTTGCGACGTCCGGGGAACCCTCGATTTCGTGCGTGCGTCATTTCCCACAAGGAGATGAAAGCGACCGAGACTTCTGGCAATTAATCGGTCGGCTGTGGTTATTAAGCCACTGCCCGGACTATTTACGCGATCACACGAATTTCCGCTATTCCATGTATTACTTTGTAATCATCTTGGACCATCGAGTATGACACAATGCTCCTTTCTCTTCGACGCCCCGAGATAATTGTGCATTGATAAAAATCCAATTATTCGCTGTATTCAAGAGACGCAGGCGCTTCTCCTCGGTTTAGTTATCTTTTGCAATGGTTCTGTGTCACGGTGGATACAAGTCCTTTCCAGCAATGTGCTCTCCCCCCTATCTGTCGCCTCCGCCTCACCGTCATCTACCAACCAACTAACCCCCCCCCCCCCCCTCACTCCCTCTTTCTCTCACTCTTTCTCGCTCTCTTCGGAGAATTACAAATTTTTTTCTCTCTCTTTTACTTTTTATGAATATCTTTACATTCGTCCTCGTAAGTCATAAAATAGTTGACATTCGCTTACGAACTTTTTTCATCCAATTGCACACTGTTGCTTCACCTTGTGTCACTTTCAAGCAGCTCTTCGATTTCCATTAAAACACTATATATATATATATATATATATATATATATATATAAATGTTTATGAAAAGTATTGCTATTCAATAGGAAATAAATTCATACGTCGTGCAATGTTAATGATAAAACGAGACGAGAGTGTACAGAGTGTTATATTCGTCTCTTGCGAAATAATTCAAGGCTCCTCCTTACATAATAATTGCCAGGTCGTAGCAACTGCTGCCGAAGCAGCTTGCGACTCCAATCATAGGATACGATTTTAGGTTGCGCTCTCTTCCTCTTCCGCATCACTATCGAGGCGTAACCTTGGCATTTAGAGGGCCCAGTCCGGACAGCATTCGACGCGTCCTGACAAAAATCTAGCGCGAAGGGGAAAGCGATCCGACTGAAAAAGTTCGGTTGGTCCCGCGGTGACAAATAAATAACAGAGTACGAAGAATGCGCTCTCGATCACGCGCTTCCATAATAGCCGAGGCAAGTGAAAAGAGAGCGAGAGAAGAAGGAGGCAAGGAGAAAAAAAAAAGATAGAGAACAGTATTTGTAGCGTGGGGCGGGTGCTCGGCACCAGAGAGCAGGCGGGGGTGGGAGCGATTGTGCGCGGAATAGGGTATGAGGTACGGATGGAGTAGCGAGGGGTAAGGGGTGGGGAGCGGGGGAGCTGGTAGTAGAGTAGATAAAAGAAAAAGCCTAAGTAAAGCGTGAAAGCTGAGGAAGAAGGCGCAGCTGCTTGAGCTGTGGCCCCGCAGCCTGCGTAAACTGGCGAACCAATGATCGTGCTCCGGGCGAACAAGGAGCCTCGACGATGACGCCGAGAACCGCGAGCCCCGGTGCTTTATTACAAACTATGAGACGAGTGAGTGAGAAAGAGAGAGAGAGAGAGAGAGAGAGAGAGAGAGAAGCAGCAAACATATTGCGTGCGTGCGTGCGCGTGTGCATACGAGCGAGTGAGAACGAGCGGAGAAAGGAGGGAGGGGTTATGCGTACGTGGCTTAGGCGCTCTCTCGACCACCCCTCCGTCTCACTCACACTGTCACTCGCGCGCGCACTCTTTCTCTCTTCCCCCCGCAGACACTCGTTTACCAAGCGCAAGCTCCAACGGAGCGTCAGCCGCACGCGCGAGTGGACGCATCTGCGTCTTGCGAGATAAGCGAGAAAAGAGAATTTATACGATTATCGACACTTTTTATCAAGGATTCGATTTTTAAATGACATTGTCGTAGCGCTGCCATTGACCATGGGTAAGTTGAGGTACGCGAGAACACTGTGCCCTGGCCCCAGCCAACCCAGTCCGACGATGATCCGTCCGTGGGTCTCTTAAGCAAAGCCCCGTTGAAATCGCACTCGGAAACACTAGCGTTCTCCCTCGGCTTTGTGGGGCGTTAAGCCACGCCACTTGGCAATGTCGAGTAAAAATCTAGTCGATTAAGACCTTTTTATAATCGGGGGAGTACGGAGGACTAGTGATGTGGATGGAATCGTACACATAATCAACGCGTAACCTTACCAACCAATTATCATTAGTAATTGAGCGCTTCCTATCGCGATGTGCTATTGTTTTTTATTGTTGGGCTAGATAATATAAAGTGATTTTAATATTATTATTATTATTATTATTGTCAATGGACGGGGACAAGTATAAAAGGTCTGGTAGCACGTACCCGGCGAAAGTCATTGAATCGAAAATGTATGGCACTTTATGAGCGTCGGCTTAGGCATCCTCGGCCACCGACGACTTGCCTTCTCGAGCTCGCATGGCAATCAATGGCGATTAATGATCGATACATTGCCCGTTCAGATCGCGAGGCGCAAATTTTTGGAGATAAAGCGAAAGGGGCGCGTAATTATTATTAGGGGCGATCGGCAAAGCCACGCCGACGAGATGGAAAGGAAAGAGCGTGCGTGGGCCAGCGGAAAAATGGCAGCTTAGGCGGATAAATGCCGTTAGTCGATGTAGCGTCGGGAATAATGTCGGGGAGGAGAGCAGAGACGCAGAGGCTGAAGTGATACTTAAGCTCGCACCGAGGAGGCAGTCGAAGGAGGAAAGGGAGGGAGCGACGGAGAATAAAGGAAAGTGGACGACGTGAGATAAGCGGGCGCATTCTTCAGAGCATACCCGAAGGCGTAATAAGATGAGTTTGGCGATGGTGGTGTAGGCGAGCGGGGAGGGAGCGAGCGGAATGTAGCGCGGAGGGTGGAAGGTCATCGGCAGTGGTGCGACCAAGGGTCCTTTACGGGGGTTCGACACCCTTCTCCGCGCGGGCGGCTACCCGGTTCCGACGCACAAGCTTCGTCGCCTCACGCACGGCCATATTCAGCTCCCTCGTCCCATCGCCCTCGCTCCCCCCCCCGCCCGCCCCGGCGCGTCCCACGCCCCTTAACGCGGCTTCCCTCCGGCCCCGCAGCTAACCCCCGCAACGGCCACCTAATGGCTCGGCCCCGCCGGCACCGCGCACCCACGGACTCTCCCTACCCTAGAGACGGGCGGCCGTGCGTGCGCACTCGTCACCGCTGCTTCCCCTCGTGCGTCGCCGACCCGCGTAACGCCGCGCATCGACTCCATTCACGCCACGAAGCGGCACGATGCCGATCGATACGTGTGCCGTTGGGGCCGAGCCCCGCTATCGATCCGGGATACATTTAAATTCCACGGTCCCCGCCGTGCCCAATCGTATTTTTTGCCGAGCCATCGCCACGGAAGTCCCAATTTTGACCATCGATTAACGGGCCAAGTAATTTAGCGTTAATGTGTAGGTCTTTGCGCCGGTTGCACAATGGACCCGCCGCGTCCCCTCATTTGGCAAATGTTTGTCCTGGATCGCGCATCCCGCAAATCATATCCACTCGAATTCGTTATTAGCGCTCCTCTTACTACCTCCAACGATAGCCCTCTCTCTTTACCGATGCTCGATTAACGATCGAGATCGTCGCTACTCTGACAGCGATACTATTAACGATATCGACGCATCACATACTTTTATTGGCATTAAGATCGTGATAATGAAAAATATGATTTCGAAAGGTTGCGTTTGAATTGAAAACAATACCAACGACAACTTAATGGAACGAGCACGTAGTGCGTTACTTAAACGATGTTTATTTAGCAGCTTGAGCGTGATTCGTGTGTGTACGTGCGGGTGTGCTCGTGCACGCCCATTTATGCGCACGTGTCACTGTACGCCGATACATGACATGAGGTAGCGTCGAAGAAATTTAATTGTCAAACTAATTAATCCTGTAGAGCTTGGATCGATAATGTAACTAAAAGCACGCAGAAAAATGTCTGGATAGATCAAAACTAAAGGAAATTATGAAGATGATTTAATGAATTTAGAAGATGGTGATGGTGCCGATTGTGGTCCCTC